GGGGGCTCACCCACCCCCCTCACCCGTCCTGACCCTCCCACCATTTCCCAGAGGCCTTTCCTCCCTGCAGGGACCTGGGAATGGCCTTCTGGCCTTTATTCCCCACCCCTGCCTGCCCCCTGTGCACTCCTTGCCTCAGGGCCCCCTGCGGGCCCCTTTCTCTCAGCCGCACATATTCGGTCTTATTTTCGGGGAGAAGAGGAGCAGCAACATTCACTGAATACCTTCTCAGTCCTAGGTGACACCCCAGTTACCCCGGGCACAGATACACTCAGCAGTTTTACAGCGAGGAAAGCGAGGGCCATCCATGCTCTCCAAACCGTGCTGCTACAGGTTCAAGCCAGGACGGAAGGGAGATCCCAGACTCGCTATTGTTTCCCCTGAGCCACAGCCAGAGGGCAAGGCACGTCCCCCCGCCCTCGCGGTTTCCCCTCAGGAAGCAGGAATCTCCTTGCAGCTGGAGGGGCCCTGCGAGGCCAGGCCAGGCCAAAGACAGGAACCAGGATGCTTTTGTGGGTGTGCAGAATGCCAACTTCCAGGGACTGGGGCTTTCCCAGGAGCAGGAGAGGGGAAAGGAGGAAGGCTCACCTTCCAGGGGGCTCTGCCACCAGCACTGAATCATTTAGTTCCTGGGCCCCTGCTGCTCCGGCCCCCTGTTGGGGGAGCTGGGGGGGGGGGGGGCCCCCGCAGGGCCCAGGCTCAGGTGATACGCAGACGGCCCAGGAGTGCTCCTTCCCTGATAGGACAGACCAGAGGAAACGGGGGTGCCCTACCCTGCTCCCCCGAGCACAGAGAGGCCAAACCCCCGGCGGCGGTGGGGCATGTGAGCCTCGCCCTGGCCTGGCAGGAATGAGGGACCCCGGGACACCTCCCCCCAGCCACCTACAGCCAGAGGGCAGTGGCGTCACACACCTGGGCTGGGCCTTGACTGTGAAGGTGTTGCTTCCGTGCTGCTTCTCCAGGCTGACCAGCACATCGTTGAGGTTCTGGTTGAGCTGCAGGATGATGGGCAAGTAGGCGGGGAGCACCTCTGGGGCCACCAAACAGCCCCACTCTCCCCAGTAACATCCCTGCTTCTCTCCGTCCCCTAGCCCCTTCCTTGCACCCTTGTCCCCTGCCAGGAATAAGCTTTCCTTACCGCCTGAGTGGGAACTGGGAACTGCACACCAAACCCAGACAAACAAAGGGGAAAGATGGAGGAAATGGGCTACACTGCTAATCGTTATTGTTTCAGAGGACTATCTTTTCCTTTCTTTCTACTTGTAGAAATTTCCTAAAATGGCTCTCACTGCTTATACTGTTTTTAAATTTTTTTAATTGTTTCTGCAAGCTAACTGTTGATTCTAATTGTTAAGCACATTTTGCCAAGATGTTTTCAGGCCACATTACTACTGCCAGAGATTTCACCAAAAGCACCAAGGCAAGACAAGAGGTTTACCTCATGTACATGTACATAGGACATTCTCACTACTGAGAAAATTTCCCTCTTTTGCTTTGGCCACCAGGAAGCTCAGAACTGAATTTTCTTCCTACTTTACATAAATGTTTCCTTCCCCCCAAACACGTCTTTCTGTTTGTTTGGATTTTTTTTTTTTTTAATTTTTCATTAAGTTGTCTCAAATCTTTAAAGGGAGGAAGGAAAAGAAAGGGAAGACCAAAAAGGCAGGAAACCATAGTCAGGGTGGTGACTCAGCAGGCCCCAAGCTGCTTTTCCTCCTCCCGCCCTGGGCCTGGAATCCACTACCATCACTTTGTTCCTCTGGGGCCAAGAGACAGAGGAGTTTCTCCAACTCTGCTTTGCAAGTTTAACTGCCAGCTAAGTTAAAATTAAAATAACACAACATAGGAATTTGAGCTAATCAGACCCCTTCTTACATCAGATTCTGGCAGATAAAACAGACATGCTTCAATGTCTTAAGAAACATGAGAGAAAAATTGAGAAAACTCCAGTATTTTATTGATTATTTGCCTACGAACTGGGAAAGGGTGCCACCATTCTCTGACCCGGAGCTCCCTGAGCCAACATTGACAGCTCCAGAGGGGCTGGCTCTGTCCAGGCAGGAGGACTGAACTGGGGGCAGAAGGGGGGCAGGGGCCGGGCCTATGGGTCCTGCTCACAGCCTCCCCCGCACTCCCACTGGGGCTAGACACTCTAGAATGGAGAGCTCCTGGAGGGCAGGGCAAGGTGGCACCTCCCCAGGGCCCAGAGGCAGTACTGTGGTCACTCGCGTGTACCAAACCCCAAGGGGAAAAAGGGAGCTTGGCCGGCCCGTTGCATGCCTCTGCCCCAGCCCTTGGCAGCAGAGCACGGCCCAAGGCCTGAGGCCCCCAGGGGTCACCAGGACCTACCTTACTCATCTCCTTGTGGAAGTTCTCCTCCAGGCCCGCAATGCTCTGAAACGTGTTCACATAAAAACCTACACGGCTGAGGGAGGGAGGGAGGGAAGGGAAAGGGCAAAGTGAACACACGGATCAGTGCAGACGGCCCAGGAGAGCCACACATGCACTGATACCCCTCCGACCCTCCCCAGAGACACAAACCGCGGGAGGGCCCGGGGCCCAGTGGACAGACACAGGAAGACACCTCAGGCAGCCCCGGGAGGGAAGCCAAGGCTCAGCCCCATGACCTCCCAGCACTCACCTGTTCCACAGGGACGGCAGCTCTTCCTGCAGATCCACGTTCATCTCCTCAAACACTTTCTGGGCTTTGATGAGCTCCTCCTCTGCCTGAGGGGCGGGACTGGTCATTCCCCTCTGCTGGGCCTCTGTCCCAGCCAGCCCAGGCCAGGCCAAGCCCACCCCCCAAGACCTGCTCCCCCTAACCTCCCACCCAGTGCACTGGGACCAGGGCTCTGGGCAAGATGGGAGTGAACCAGATGAGGACACTCAGGGGGCCTTCCCCATGCAGCTCCTTGGCACCTGCAGCTAGGTATGTAGGGTCTGCTCCAGGAAGGGGAAAGCAGGGCAGCCGTGGCTGGAGGGAGAAGCCCCCTATCAGGCCCAGGTGGGCCAGGAGGGAGATGAGGGGTGAGCAGGGCACAACAAGAAGGCTTGAGACAAGGGGGCCAGGAGCTGGGGCCCAGGAAGGAGGCAGGGGCAGACCCCAGACCCAGCAGGGACTCTGCCCACTTACATGTGAACCCCTCTCAGGCTAAGCATCAGCCTACTGCCCAGCCCCCTCGGCCTTGCCCTGCTGTCCCTGCTTGAGTATCCCTTTCTCAAAGCGGGTCCTACTCAGCCTCAGCCACCTCCCTGTAGGATGTGGCAGCAGTATTTCCCATGCCTACCCCTCTCTCCTCGGTGACCTGTCCCCACCAGCCGGAGGCCCGAGGCAGCAGCTCAGGCACATCCAGGAAAGACAGGGGAAAGATGGGGGAGAGGGCAGGGCCAAGGGAGGGGGGCGCTAGGCTGCTGGGCAGGATGCCTGTGCTCACCCACGAAGCCCTCACCCTACCCAGTCAGGCCCACTGCCTTCCGGGCCTGCTCACACCCACCAGCAGGTGGCGCTAAGGCCCCATCCCACAACGGAAGACCGTAGGGAACAGGGCAGCAGGCTGCGGCTGAGGCAAGAGTAGGGGTGAGTCACAGACCCTGGGCAGAGAAGGGGCTCTACTAGCTCACTTGGAGGGCGCTGCTGGAAACAGTGACTCAGTTGGGTGACTTGGATTCAGGGTCTGAATCACAACCCAGGAACGTGGCAGGCCCCTCCCCGGAGAACACTTCCCGCCAGCATCCTTACATTTTCAGGCCTTCTGGCAAAGGCTGCCAACTGGCCAGAATGCCAAACTGCCACAAAGCACACGATTTCCCCAGCCCACCCAGCTGTCCCATCCAGCTTCAGGCACCAGGTCAGCCCCAGTCAGCCCGTACCTCGGCCAGCCCAGCCTTGGTGGTGGGGGTGGGGCTGGAGGAGAGAGAGGGGCCACCTCGCTCCTGACTACAATTACCTTCACGCTGTCTTGCTAGAATGAACTTGCTAGAATGAACATAAGCTCCATGCCTAACTTTTTAAAATCTAATTTAAAAATTGAAGGTAAAGTAGGAAAAAAAAAAGAAAGAAAGAAAGAAAAGAAATGTCTGTTTGAACATGCATGCCTTGGGCAGCTCCTGCAGAGGATCAGATCCAGCAGGCCCTCCCTGCCTTACCCCACTGGTCATCCCAGCACCCGAGTGGAGGCCACTAATGTGAGTCTCTACAACCCACAGAATGAGAGACTTTCACCACAGGTCTAACCATGAGTGTGACACTGTCACACACCCAACTGCCGAGGGTCTGGCTCAAGGCCCATGTTCCCCAGCTCCCATGCCCCCCAGAGACCAGCTCAACATCAGCCACCACCCCACGATGCTGGTCCTAACTCCTCAATGAACATCCGTGACAATGACACGCAGCTCATTGCCGTAGGCCGAGCCCTAGTGACACGCCCAGCAGTGCTGCGAAGAACAGGGTGGCTCTGTTTTAATGTTCCTGGAACTCAGGGCCTGTGTCTGTTATTCCCTTTGGGTCCCATTCCTCATATTCTGGCTGTTTCAGAAACACTTGGGGTGGCAGGAAGTGGGGGGAAAGCTGTCCACTGTTGGGCAGGCTTTGCAGCCCCGGTGGCTCGGCTAGATGCTGACGGACACATAGAGCAGGCCAAAACAGTCCTGCTTACCAGGCTGCAGAGCACCAGGGTCCTGCAGGCAGGTTTGAGGGGACTGTGGCCGGTGCAGACAGCAGCTCAGAACGAGCCCACAGGATATGTGGTGCTGGTCAGCTTGAGAGAGCACAGCTTCACCAGGTCACATTCCCTCCCCAAAGTCAAGTCAGCCAGCAGGGCAGTCCCAGGACCCCAGTGGCCCAGCTCACAGCCAGCCAGCTGCCCATGGGAACTCAAAGGCTCCCCAGCTTCCAGCCAGGCATGAGGCAGGGTGGGGGCAGAAAGAGGATATGCTCAAATAAAAATTGCATCCAAATGGGAAAGCCAATTTGGCCAAAAGGCCAAACATCTGCAGTCCAACAACCAGAAATGAGATCATGAGCCTTAGCCTCCCTAGTGGCTCCCCTGAGGTAGGGGTGTGGGGCCCTCCCACCAGGATCCCCTACCCACACCCATCTCAGGAGCCCCAAAACAGCCATGGGCACTACCCCCAAGCCCCACAGTCTCTCAGGGGCAACAAAAATTTTCACCTGGTCTCCTGCCAAACCCACTTCAGGGAAAATTATGCAGAAACCCTGGCTCTGGGTCAGTGGCCCCATCCTCCTCCAGCCAGAAGTCCTGAACTCTACAGGCAGGGCTGGTGCTCCAGCCTCTAGCTCCTCCCCACCTCCCACGGACCATCTCCCCCAGACTTCGGAGATCCAGGGTCACCCCAGCGTCACGGTGGGGCTGTCACCCACTCCAAAGTCAGCCCATAACTTTGGCCTACAATAAATCAGGCAGCAAGTCAGGTAAGAAATTGGGCCACGAGCCCATGCTGAGCCCTGAGCTCTCCACATCACAGGCATTCAACACATGTGGGTTGAAGATGATGAAATGAGGAGTTGGCCCAGAAAAAATAGGGCAGCTGCCCAAAGAGAAACCCAACCTTGTGGGTCAGGGCTCCGTGGCCCGCCCCCACCTCAGGACCATGAGGGGTGCTGGAGTCCCGTCAGTTTCACTGGAGAGAAAACCATGAGGCCACCTCTCGCAGAGTATATCTAGCGGTCCCCGGCCACACTGTGCTCACCCAGAACCCAGCCTGTCCCGAGGGCAGAGGGCTGAGAAGAGTGAAGTATTGCCAGGGAAATAGGATCAGTCAGGAGTTTTGTACAAAGAGCCTCCTCCGAGAAGCCCTCCAGAACCACTGTGGTGCCTAGTTTGCCCTTCATGAAACTCCCAAAGAGCAGACCCTTTAGGCCCCAGGTCTCAGCATCCCAGCCACACTTGAAGAGCCTTGCCAGGGCTCTCCGTCCAGGAGCACCATGAAGGCCCACAGGTCCCAGGGGTCCCTATGAGCTGGGGTTTTGCCTCTCTGGGCAGGTTTGTCTCTTCAATAAATTTTGGATAGCCTCACAGTTTTTATGAGGCTTGAAGGACAACACATGTTAGGACAGGAGCCCTCAGAGAGGACAAATGGCTCAGAGGCTTTCCTGCGTTCCCAGAGGCTAGGATTTCATAGAGTCTCAGGACTACCAGAGACTCGGGCATGAACCAACAGACCGGGGCCCTCCCCAGGTTAACCAGAGCCCCAAACCTCTCTCAGCCCCCCACATTTGACCTCAGGTCTCATCTGAAGCAGGAGCTCTCTCAGCAGAGACATTTGTAAACGGCCCTGCCCCCCAACCCAGGAAAGGGACTAAGCCCTCCCCCACCCTGGGCAGTGCAAGACAGGCGCCCAGTGCCAAGGACAGGACAACAGACCAGAAGGCGCCAGCACGTGCAAGGTTAGAAGCCAGTGTCACCTGATTTCGGAGCAGGTTAGTTTGAGCTACGAGATGAGCCTGCAGTTTGCCTTGGCACCACTGGGGGGCAGCTTTCTCAAGCAGCGAGACAGGCTGGGGGTGGGGAGGGGAGGTCAAGGCAAAGGAGAGTGGAGAAACAGGAGGGAGATGGGGAGAGAGAAACAAAGACACAGATATTAAACACAAAGTCCAAACGTCCCAAATGCAATGACAGACAAGCTGGCCACCCCTCCAGGGGGCCAGCCCCCCAGCAGGTAAAGGCCCCTGGAGGCTAAAATAATTAAGGGGAGCCCTGGGCAAGGGGCAGAGAAAGAGGTGAACTCCAACTGCAAAGCAAAATGTGAGAGTCGTTAGCAGGGGCAAAGGGGCTCAGCAAGCTTGGTCCTGCCCCGGGGTGGGCTGGGGAGAGGGGAGCCACCCTCAGCCCCTCACTTGTGGACAGCGTGACCAGCTCAAGCCCTGTGCCCTCAGGCTTGTTCCAGCAGAGACAGGGTCACATGGGATCCCATGACAGAATTCCACTCAGAGCACGCCAGGTCGGGTGGGGCTGTTCCAGTGAAACCCAAGCCAGGCCTGTTCTCATCCTGGAAAGTGGCCTCAGAGCAGGGTGGAGGGCCCAGGGCCCAGGGCAAGCACGACAGGATAGGCAGGAAGTGGACCCTCACCCAGGTGCCCACAAAGGCCTTTCCCTCAACCTGCCGTGAGCCCAGCAGCATCCCTCACCCCTCTTACTACCTGGGACTAGTCACCAGCTGTAAACCCATCTGCAAGTGGGGTTGATGATTCCTGCCCCAGGGGAGCAGTGATAACCAACAGTGCAAAAGGGTGCAGTGAGTACAGCACAAGAAGAAGGCCCCTCCAGGGGACTTGGGTACCCCCCTTTAGGCTCTCCCCCAACCCTGCCCTCCAGCCCTTACCTTGGCAATTTTGGCTTCATCCTTCTTTTTGGCGGTTTGAAGGGACTCGTAATGGTGCCGGGCACTGTCATAGTCCACCAGCTTCCGCCCTCGCTTGGCAATGCGTGACTGAGGACAGACGGAGGTGAGGGGGTTGCTGGGATGCTGACCCAGGCTGGGCTCAGAGAAACTGGGCTGTGGGCACTGGGAGTTGGATGAAGCCAAAGGGCCCAGGGCAGTCGACCCCAGGCTCAAGAAGTGCATCTAATGCATGCTTGAAACACTTCCTCCATCATTTCTGGGGGCAAAGAGCTCACCCCTTCAAGGCGACCCATGCCCTCGGGGTGTCCTTTCTTATGCAGAGGTCAAACCACTGTCTTCAATATTCAGCCACTTTTGCCAGGACAAACCAGCCAGTACTGTGTACAATACGCCTCCCGCTCCTGGACCCCAGGCTGCTCTACTGGTAGGCTACCACCATTGGCCTCCCTTGCACACTCCCCATAAGGCATCTTGAGGGCCCGGGGCATCTGCATTGGGTGGCCACGGGGGCCAGCATGGAGCCCAACCCCCAGGGGCTCAGGTCCAGCGCAACAGTCACCACCTAGCCTCAACACCTCTGCTTCCATGTCTGAAGCACCTGGGGCCCACTGGCTGCAGTGGAGGGCACCTATCAGGCCCCCATGCTCAGGCCTTACATCCCCTTAATATACCTTATACAACCCTATAGTCACTCCACAGTGACACGGCCACACAGACGTACATGCACCATGGGGTCTCTTCCCCAAGTCCGGAGACCCAAAGCCCTCAGCTCAGAAAGGCCCAGGTCTGGGGGCTGGTGGGCTGGCCTCAGAGGGAGCAGCCCTGGAGGGATGAATTGCCAGGTGAGGGAGATGCCAGCCTTCAGGGCAGAGTCACCTCAGTGCCTGAGCCAGCCCTAGGCTGACCCCTTCCCCCCATCCTTCTATCCCCGCTTCAACTCCCCTGCACAGGCTACCAGGCCAGAGCACGACAGATCTACAAAAAGTGCCTCTCACCTTGATGTCAGGGAACTGGCCCAGGTATGTGTCCATGGTCAGCAGCGCCTGGTCCACCAGCTTCTGATGGTAATCCAGCCAGAGGAGGTCATTGTTCTGAAGGAGGTGAGAGCTCATGAGTATACGGCCCGGGGAGCTGGGCCACACCAAGTCCCCAGCTCTCTCCTCCCAGAGACCTGGGGTTCACAGCCCAGAGGCTTCTCAGAACCTCAGGTCCCTTGGCTGTAAAATGAGGGTAGTAACTCCTGCCCTCTAGCCTCTCACAGGGCAAGTATAAGGAACAGATAAGCCCAGGGCTGGTAGGTCAGGGAGGGGAGGTGACTTGCCCAAGGGCACACAGCATGTGAATGCCCGAAAACCAGAAGGGCTTGTCCCAGAGGGCAAGGCAGGGCAGAATAGGCCTGGGGCTGAAACCAGAGGGCCCTCTGGGAAGGACCGAGGTCACCTGCCTCACGCTCACCTCAGCTATCTTGTTTGCTTCATCCCTGCCAGGCCAGTCGGGCTCATACACCTCCTGCAGACATTCGTTCAGTTTCTTGGAGGCCTCGTGCATGGCTGTGGGGCAGAAGGGCCATGCTGCAGCCAGGGCCACGGGGCAGGGGGCGGGGACGAAGGTGGGGGCAAGGGAGGGACAGGGAGGGTCACCCTTGCCCCCACCTCCTAAGGCCCCACTGTCAGCGCTTACCGCTCCATCACAAACCCTGGTCCCCATCCCAGCTCTGCCCCCATCACCTTCATGGGGCAAAGGCCCCTCAGTGTCCCATGAAGCCCACTACCCAGACCAGGTCTGCCCTGCCTGCCCCTCACCCTTGACTGAGGCCAGGTAGGTCCGGAGATCCTTCTGCAGTCGAGTGCCCTCAGTCTGCAAAGAGAAAGCCAAGGCCAGGGTGAGGGCCCGGGGCACACGCTGTACCCGACCCTGTCCTCCCTGCACTCCCGTGTGGACAAACGCAGGCTGCTCCTGACGGCCGCCCCAGATCCGCTGTCCTCATCAGGGCAGGACTGGAGAAGACAAGACATGAGCGACAGCTCCTGGGCACGGCCTGGCCCGGAGCGCCCCTCAGAGCCGGCAGCTACTGTCTCTAGCTGCAAACGCCTACTGAGCATCCAGTGCTTCTCAGCACCATCCCTCCCTCAGGAGCCCTGTGCGCCATGGGGTATTCCTCCTGGTTTGTCAGCACCTGTCTCTTCCGGGCAGTGTTCTCAGCCCTGTAAGGAAGGCAGGAAAGTAGAGACCTCTCCACCCTAAACAAGGCACCAGGGGCACAGGCTGAATGAAAGGTATGACGCAGCACACATGTACAATGGGACTGGCGTACATACGAGGCATGCCCCCAGACAACCACGGACCAGAGGACCAATGAGCACAGAACACGGGAGTGGAACACCCAGCACCTTGCCCCAAAAGCTTAGGCCAGCACACTCCCACTGCATGGTGCCAGGGACAGAGGATGGCTCTGGAAGGGCCAGGGGAGGTAGGCTGTGGGAGGTGGAAGGGAATGGCTTAGCCAGGCTGCACAGAAGCGGCGGGTCATGCCCACGACTCTCAGACACTGGCCCAGCCAAGAGGGAGGATGTAGGATGTAAGAGGAAAAGATTGGCCAGGGGACTGGGCCAGACAGTGAAGGCCCTGAGCTGGGGAGACAGCCCCAGGGACTTGCTGAGACAGCAGGACCAGCAGAGAGGATGGCCCATAGGCAAAACCTCCAGTTCCTCTGGATTATCAATGCCACACAAGGCAGGAGCAAGAAAACTGAGCCCCAGGTGAGAGGGGGTAAACAGGCTGAGGCAACAGGTGAGGTATGAGAGCACCAACAGTGAGATGCTGGAGTTTCCAGAAGCCATGTGCAAAGGGGTCTCAGAGAGCACACTGGCTTTGGGGTTATGAAGACCCGCCCAACTCTGGCCCTCACTAGACATATAGCCCTAAGCAAGTGACCAAACCTCTCTGAGCCTTGGTCTCTTCATCTGTCAGCTGGGATGAATGACCCCTGCCTGGCAGACCACCAGCTAGTGTGCGCTCAGGAAGTGGCCAGACCCCTAGCTTGAAGGCCAGCTCCAAGAGATGGGCTTTATGCTGAGGATGGTGATGTGGGGCAGTGGGGGAACCTGAGGAGAGAGGACTTCTGGAGGGCCAAGGATGGCAGTGCCAGAAGCTGGTTTCTTCGGGGGACGAGCACCCTCCTGGCGTCTCCCTGCCTGATGCTGCTCACATCTCAGCAACACCCTTGTTTTGGATTCCCTTGCCCTGGTGAAGGGTTAGACAGACACAGACCCACAAGCAGCCACAGTCCCGCTCCTGGACTGCCTGGCGCCTCTGCAGGAGATGAAAAGTGGTCTCCACTCCAGCTGAGGGCAAGCAGGGACACAACCAGCCTTCTAGGTGCACCCCAGGCACCCTCAAACCTCTCCAACCCCCCCAAACAGGCTCTCCCCCCTCATAGCCAGGGCCTGCTCTTCCTCTCCCAGTGTGCTCAGAGCATCACGTACCACCTGCCCAGTGGGGCTGGCTCTTTCCTGCATCCATCTCCATATCATCACTGTCCCTACCTGAAATATGAGGGAGCTGAGAGGTTCAGTGACTTGCCCAGTGCGACACAGACTGGTAGAACTAGTGAGAACCCCCACAGCCTGGGCACTCAGGCCCCCCAGGCAGCTGCCTGTTTATCATGATGGGTGCTTCCAGAAGACAATAGAGGTGTCATGCAGGGAGGGTTCCAGGGCAGTGCATAAGATGTACAATTAGAAAAAAACAAAAAAACAAGGGGTGGTGGGGAAAAAAAAAAAAAAAAAACCTCTCCAAAATTGCTTGAATCCCCACAGACCACAGAGTAGCCTAGAGAAGCCTGGCCACACGGAATTCTGAGGAACTTCAAAGATCGAGGCCTGCTGATTAAAGATTAAAGGCCAATCCACAGCATCCTAACCTCTGGAATTCCATCAGGGATCAGATGTGGGCCTTGTGGGACTGGAAATGGGGAAGGGCCCATCCCACTCTTGATGCTTTGGTGATGGAGATGAGGATTCAAACGTGTTCATGACTCAAGGCTATTGCATTCATCTGATGCCACAGAATCTTCCAGACTCAGTTTCTCTTCCTGCCAAGCCTCCATCATCTCACTCCCCTCCCCACCATCCTGCGAGCGCCTGTCTACTCTGCACCCCGAGGAAGGGGTCTCCCGAGGGGCGGGTTGCTGTGCTTGCCCGGGCCTCAGGCAGTACCAGGGCCCCTTGTGCTTCCCGAACAAGGCCACGCTGTGAGCAGGCACCCTGGGCACAGATGTGCAAGGGGCCGCCCAGAGCTCTGCCTCTCACATGCCAACTGCAGCTGGGCCCCTAAGCCACACTCCCCAGTCAGTCCCCAGGATCAGGCACAGCCCTCCCCCATGCAGCTGCCTCCTGCAGGGCAGCGCCCAGGCAGGCCAGCACAGAACCTGTGTGTTTGCTCCCAAAATGGCTCCTTTGGCCCTCCACATAGGGCACCTAAGAAACAACTCTCTGGAGGTTCCTAGGGCTTTAACAGACTCCTTGAAGAGCAGCTGAGGGAAGAATAAAGTTCTGGAGCACAGTCCCTTCAGCCTGCTCTCCTGGCTCTGGACTCAGGAGTCCGGAAGGACACCACAACCCAGTACCAACACCTAGTATAACTCCACGGGGGTGGCTTGGCCAGCACCTCACATCCCTGCTGTACCTTCCTTCAAAGGGTGCTCCCTGCCTCCCCTGACATCAGCCCCCACCAGTGGTCTGAAGGCCCAAGCCCTCATCTTCCCAGTGGGTCTAGGGGGCAGGGACATCCCTCCTGCAGGACTCCCTCTGGCCCCAGCTGACTTGCGCCCCTCTGCAGTCCATTCCAGAGGATCTTCATGCAATAGCCAGGGATGCCCTCTTTGAGCAGAGCAGGCCCTAAGAACAAGAAGGAATCTGACCTGCCCCACCTCAGCAACAGACAAGCAATAATGAGCGCTGGGGTGCAAGCTACAGGTCGTCCCAGGGGGAAGAGCTTGACCCATTCACCTCCCCCCTCCACTGCCCCCCAGCTCAGGTTCAACTCAGGCCTTCCTGGGAACCATCCTGGGTCCTCTGAGTGGGCCAAGCTGTTTCTCAGTGCAGGGACAGAGGGCAGGAGTGCCAAGAGAGGTGCTGAGTGGGCCCAGGAAGGGCTATGAAACCTGTCCCTTGTGAGAGCCGGCGACAGCAAGGTGACCTATGCCCTCACCTAGGGCACCTGTAGGAAGGGGTAGGAGATTTACTTCCTTGAAGCCCATATTCCCCTGCCAGCCTAGTCCCCAACTAGCATGGGGCTCACTGCGCTTGGTGTTCACAGATAAGGAGCAGGAGAACACTCAGCTTCCAGACTTCCCACACTCAACCTCCACCCCACCTTTCCCAGGGTCGCCCAAGCCCAGGGCTCCAGCCACCCACACACACCCATCAAATCCAGAACCACATGGCTGCCTTAACCCCCAAGAGAGGGTTACCCAAGTCTCAAATGAGACCTCAAATCTACCCCCTCTTACTTGGCCCCTGAAAAGCCAGCCACCCCACCTAACCTGAAGGCAGACAGAGCCCCAGCTCAAGTGCCCACTCCATGTCCACCTCCAGAGAGCCACCAGCACTGACTATCTTCAGCACTGGCCTCACTGCCTGGCCCCTCTGCCCAAGGATCACTGAGTGACTCCTTGTCCAGAGCCGGGACCCAGAGGGGGTGACTCTGAGGGACAAAAGTGGACAGTAACGCTCTGGCCCCAGCACTGGGGCCAGGCCACAGGGAACCTCAGCTCCCAGACATGTACTTTGCTCACCTTCTGCCAAAGAGCCCAGCTGATGGGGCAGCCCCATCACCCCCACCCAGCTCAGGAGCTGCCCTAATCTTTTTCCCCAGCCCAGCCAGTCATCCTCAGGATTGGGGCTTGGCTCCAGAGAGCCGACCTGAGAGTGGACAGATCTGGACACCACACACTGTGTGTCCTTGGAAAAGTCGCTTAACCCCACTGGGCTTCAAGTACCTCCTCTATAAAATGAAGAGACTATCAGCATCCGCCTCAGGAATGCAAGGTTCAGGTCTGTAAAACACAAGCAGTACCTAGTCTAGAGTAGGGACTCTAGAAACAGTGACTTCCTAAAAGACTTTCAGAGCATCCCATAACCTGAGGAAGCCAGCTGAGTAGGGGACGTACCCCAGGGGCTTTCAGCAGAAAGAGTCAGAAGCAAAGACTTCAGGCTTCTTGTCCAAGCCTCATTTTGCAAAACTGACGCCCAGGGAGCAGGGGCTCACCCAGGGCCACAGGGGCAGTAGATGGCTCTGACATGGCACATACCTGGGCCTTGAAACACCTCCCATTCATGGCCTGGGGGACAAGCAGCCATGAGGGCTCCCATTCCTGCCCTAAGGAGCCTCTCCATTGAGCTCCTCTGGCAGGCGAGAGTGGACTTGGCCCTGGAGACTTTCCCAGCTGCTCTCCGCACCCCTCTCTTCAATCATGCATCCGCCCAACCCCAGGCGCTCTCCCATCATGTCCCCAGGCCCTCTCCCATCATGCCCCCTACCCTATGGCCCTCTCCCAGAATGCTCCCTGGGCCTCTCCCAGCTTGCCCCCTGGCCTTTTCCCAGCATGCTCTCCAGCCCTCTGCCAGCATGCCCCCCCCCACCGCTCTCACCCAGCATGCCCCCTACTCTCTCCCAGCATGGCCCACAGGCCTCTGCTAGCATACCCACCCCCCCGACTCTCTCCCAGCATGCCCCCTCCCAACCCTCTCCCAGCATGCCCCTTACTCTCTCCCAGCATGCCCCCTGGCCCTTTTCCAGCATGCTCCCCAGCCCTCTGCCAGCATGGTGCCCACTCTTACCCAGCATGCCCCCTACTCTCCCAGCATGCCCCTCAGGCCTCTCCTAGCATACCTCCCACTCTCTCCCAGCATGCCCCCTACTCTCTCCCAGCATGGCCCACAGGCCTCTGCTAGCATACCCACCCCCCTAACTCTCTCCCAGCATGCCCCCTACTCTCCCCCAGCATGGCCCATGGGCCTCTCCTAGCATGCCCCTGTCCCTCTCCCAGCATGCTCCCCAGCTCCCAGCTCCTGGCCAGTGGACTGTCAAAGTTCTCCAAAGAAAGCCCCCTCCCCCGGGTTTAATTCCAGCTGCAGAGGTATTGGTGGGCACCTTTAGTGCTTTCAGAGGGCTCAGGCATAAACGAGAAGTAGGGAGAGGCCTGGTCCTTCCCAGCCCCAAGTCTGGGCCTATTTGGCCCCTTTCCTAGCACAGCTTAGACCATGACCCCACCCCCCATGCCCATTCCCATTCCCTGTGGCCCCTGCTGGCCTCCATCCCCATCTGTTCTCACTGGGGGCTGGCCTGCAGAAGCCACAGGGCCATGGCCCAGCTCTCCCTCACTTCCTGCCACCGGGCCCTTCCCAGAGAGGGGAGAACCACCAGGGTCATCTCATTCCCCCCCTTCCATATCTTCAGATACACCCACAGAAATGGCTAATTCTAGGGGCACCTGGGTGGCCAGTAGGTTAAGCGTCTGACTCTTGATCTCAGCTCAGGTCTTGATCTCAGGGTCATGGAAAAAAAAAAAAAAGTGGCTAATTTTAGACTTAGCAGATTTATGTGAGGGAAAAGGTTTCAGGGACATCCCAGTTAAGGAATTCAGGGTCCTTCAGTCAGGAAGTCCTCCCTTGCATCTAACCACTGCCCCAGGCTGCCAACCTGATGAAGCCCCTTCTGTCACTGGTCTCTGAACTATCTAAAGGAATTTGGTAAGGGTGCCATTGCAATCTTTGGGACCAAACAAGTATGGATCTAAATCCACTCCCAAAGCAGGATGGCCTTGGGCAAATTACCCAACTTCTCTGAGCCTCAACTTCTTCATCTATAAAAGGGGAACGATGATACTGGATGCCTTACAGGGCTGTTGGGAGGCATCCATAGGCCATGCTCAGCAGGTGCTCAGATCAGATCCTGTCTGCTCTGCTCCCACAGTAAATTCTGCAAACGCCACTCTCCTCACAAGAAGCTTCTTTAGCTCCCACTTGCTTTGACATTCAAGGTTTTCCAGAGTCTGGCCAAAATCTATTGCCTGCTCCCCCCCAACCCCTACCACCCCCCCAACCTGCCCCAGGCCTTCATATGCCTTATCAAAGACCTAAAGTATACCCCCCAGCCCTCCCTCCTATTGCCCTTGGTCCATGCCCAGAGCCAGTGCTCCCTTTTCCAGGAAGTCTTCCGTGACTTTGCCAGCCCACACTGGCCCCTTCTCCCAGCTCTCTAACTCCACAAACTCAGCTCTTGACATTTTTTACCTGGCAGCCTCACTTCCACTTTGCACAAGCTCCCTAAGGCCAAAGGCCACCCACACTCACCAGCTGCTTGTTGAAATTCTGGACACACTGTTCAAACTGCTCATCCTTTGTCTCATCTGCCTTTCCCAGTTTCTGGAGGACCTGCCAAGGCAGCGGGAGAAGGGAAGCGTTACCATGAGAAAGAGGGTGGCCAAACCAAGAGTGCCCAATCACCAATACCACAGATGGCTTCCCACCCCAGCCAGCGTCCTGGGGGCCCACAGCCAGCATCATGCAGCCCAGGGCACTGGGACCATCAGAAGATTTCATGGCTGCTGTGATCCCCAAAAGCAACCCTGAGTCCACCAAGTCTTGAGACCTCCTCACCCTCTACCGGCCAAGCGGAGGAGCTTAGGTCAGGCTTGCTGGAGTGATTGAAACCAGGAGGAGGGGGATACCCTCAAAGAAAGCTTGAGGGGTCAGGCACCCCTCCTTGCTGATCTCACACTGCATCCCTGGGGGCTCTACCCCAACCCTGGCGGCTAAAAAGTGAGCTGAACACAAGAGGGCCCAGGTAAGGGCAGCCCCACCGCCCCACATGACTCCATTTCCTGGGCCCAAGACTCAGGAATACCAGAGGGAGGAGCAGAGCAGCCCTGAGCAGGAGGTAACCAACCCAGGACACGGAGGGCAGCGAGGGGTGGCCAGGGGTCAGGCTCTTCATGTCAGTGGGAGCCAGCTCGCAATCTGACTAGATTTTCAGATGTGACCTGCTCCCTTCTCTACAGCCCAGAGGGCCAAGCTGGGCCCACTCCTGGCACTCACACTCACACTCACACACACACACACAGTCGCACACATGGGCTCACAGCTACCCGCTCTACCCCCAACTAGACATCTCAGAGGCGGACTCTCCCCCTGATGAGTCACAACTGTGCTTTCTCAGCTGTGTGGGGAGAGTGGGAGGGGAGGGCAGAGGTGGGAAGAGGGCTGGGTAGCGGCAGAGAGACCCAGGGCCAGGAGAGGGGGAAAGACTTAGAAAAAGGAGCTGGATCAGGAGCCTGAGAGGAAGTATGATGGGAGGGTGGAGGCGAGGAAGGGCGAGGGCAACAGGGGAGGGGAGGGCAGGCAAAGAGAAAGAGGAGAGATAGGGTGCAGAAAGGGGAAGCTGGGGCGCCTGGGTGTCTCAGTCATTAAGCGTCTGCCTTCGGCTCAGGTCATGATCTCCAGGTCCCGGGATCGAGCCCCACGTCGGACTCCTTGCTCAGCGGGGAATCTGCTTCTCCCTCTCCCACTCCCCCTGTTTGTGTTCCTACTTTCTCTCTCTGTCAAATAAATAAATAAAATCTTTAAAAAAAAAAAAAAAAAGAAAGAAAGGGGAAGCTGAGGCAGAGGTGGGGTGGGTTTGCCAGAAGAGAGGTCGGCAGAGACCAAGATGGAGAGAGACAGACTCCCACTTACAGCACCTCCTTAGGACGCAGAAAGACAGCACTGAGATGTTCAGCAGAGGCAGTGGCCAAAGCCCAACAAGAAGGAGAAGGAAAGAGCGCCTGGGTGGCTCAGTCGTTAAGCATCTGCCTTCGGCTCAGGTCATGATCCCGGGATCCTGGGATTGAGCCCCGCATCGGGCTCCCTGCTCACTGGGGAGTCTGCTTCTCTCTCTCCCTCTGCCCCTCCCCCATGCTCATGCGCGCTCTCTCTCTCTCTCTCTCAAATAAATAAATAAAATTTTAAAAACAAACAAACAAACAAAAACGAATGAGAAGAAAGGTGGCAGTGGGTGGGGGTGGCAGGAGGAGGGAAAATTGGCAGCCTGAACCGAGGGATGCCCTGTCCCAGAACAGAGAGCCCGGACCCTTCCCAGCCCTGACTGGCCCTAGGATGGCCTAGGCCGCCTGCTGCACCATCTCCAGCAGGCTCAGGGGCCACGGCCAGACCTTCTCTCAGCGTGTTCATTTAGCCACCTCACCAAGTGCCGGCTTTGTGCACAGCCATGGGCCCCTCTGCTGGGGTAGTAGACATCAATCGGACATGGATCCAGACAGAGGGAAGCACACAGCACTGCAGGAGCCTGGGGTGGAGAGCCCATGCAGCCTGAGCAATCAGGGGAGACTTCCTAGGGGAAGTGGCAGCTCAAGAGCAGGGAGAGCATGCAGCAAAGGCGAGACCAGAGAGATGTGAGGTACATGACCAGGGAATTTCAAATAGCTCAAGGTGACCACAAGTCACAGAGGATGGTGAGGGAGGATATATGCAGCAGGAGGAGCAGGGGTAGGCCTGGGAGAGGAGCCCACCAACAACTTTGCGCTGTAATGGTCACAGCACAGTTTATTGTGCAGTTTATTGGGCAAGTGCAGCTGTAGGCCAAGGGCTGACACTGAGGTGAGAGGCAAAAAGCAAAACAAAACCACCAAGAGCAAGAAAATCAGCACTTCCTGCCAGCCATGGGCTCCCCCCCACCTCCCCCTTGGCAACCATACCCAGCTGGTCCCATGGAAATGGGGTGGAGCTGTTGGAGGCGCCTGGCCCACTCTGCATGGAGCTTGAGTGGGTGACTCACCCCACTATCAGACGCCAGCCCCTTGGCCCCACCACCTCCAAAGACAGAAATGGAACACCAGGTGGAAAAGAACTTCCAGAAGTCAACAGAGGCCACTGGAGTGGGCAAGAGGCTCCCAGGAAGCAGGATCAAGGCCTGGTCGGCCCTCAAGACAGGAGGACTGGGAAGTGGCCCCGTCCAACCCCTTCCTCTCTTCTCCCTGAGGAGATGTACGCAGTCAGCAAAAGGTCCCTAATCCCAGTCCTGCCACCAGAGTGCCCGAGGGCTCCAAGCCCCCAGATCTGCACCCAGACACGCACACCTGGGCCCAGTTCCCCAACCGTGCTCCACCAGGGAGATGGTCAGGCCAGCCACAGCGAGCCAGGCCTGGCAGTGAGAAGACACTGAGAAAGGGGACTTTCTCTCTGAGCCTCAAGGGCATTGTCTGGAAAATACAGGGAACACTGGCACCCACCTGAAGGGCAGCTTCACGGGGGAGTCATCTGAACCAAGGTTTGAAGGATGGTTAGGAGTTTATAAGGCACATCCTATCCATCCTTCAAAACCTGGCTCAGATGACACCCCTGTGGAGCTGCCCTGCCCTCTCTCCCCCACACACCCCAGAGCAGTTAAGGCCGGGGACCTACTCTCCTCACTACTCTGTAATGTGCCCATGCATCTGCCTCTGGCTCTGCACCAGCCATATGAAAAGTGTGAGGTCACAGACGGCATCCAGCCTTTTCCATGTCCCCGGCTCCTGCAGAGGGCTGGGGACAGGCTTGACACACCGCTTGCTCTTGGTGGCTGCTGGCTAATCTAAGCCGAGAGCTGTGAGGACAGAGTCAAGACCTTGAACAAAACATCCCATCTCTCAGACGAAGTATCCTCTTCTGTAAAATGGAAAGGTTGTGTACAGAAGGCACCCAGTCTGACTCATGGCCAGAAAGCTCACCGTGAAAGGTCACCCTTGAAACTAGGGCTAGAGCTAGCACTCACATTAATCTGAGGTCTGGTCTTGGGTGACGTGGGCCTGACAAGGCAGTGTGCAAGGGGATGGCCGGCACAGGAAGGTGGGCCAGGCTCCCGGCTCCACATGACCTCAGGCTAACTGCTTAACCTCTCCACACCTCAAACGGTGACCACCGTGGGGCCAAGGCTTGAGAAAATGCGCGGTGAGTGCGTGCTGGCCTTGGCCTTGGCCTTGTTAATCCTCACTGTACCCACCCCCATTTTACAGATGACAGAAGGAGGGCACACAGCCTGGGTCCCCGACCTCAAGGCGCTGCTGGAATGGCTACTGGGGGAAACACAAGCTGGGCGTGCCTGCCTCGAAGAGGCACTAGGACAAAATTCGGTCCAGTAAAATCCCACAACCTCCCGCTACCAGCTTCCTTTTGTCCACCCTCTGTAACTGGAATCCCTGCCTGATCAGCTGCTGGCTGACCATGACCAATCCCCTCCCCACCACCTGAAAGCTATTCAGCCATGCTGCCATCTGCCCCATCCCCAGGAGAGGCCCCAAGGTTGCGCTCTTCAGCCCCCACCAGCGCCTTCACCTCGGACACACACGCATGCCCTCAGCCCTCTACTCAGCAAGAGGGAAGCTGTGGCCACGGACATGGTGCTCCACCCATTCAATACTCGGTTAGTGGAGCCTCCTTGTGCCAAGCTCACACACAGACCACTGAGAGCAGCAGGGGGACTCTGGGTGTCCAGAGGGGCTGGCTTCCCGGGGGGCTCAGAGAATGCGGGACAGCCAAGGTGGTTTCAAAGGATGAGCAGGAGTCAGGTGGGCAGGAGGGCCTGGTGGCCAAGAGGCAGGATTCCCACTGTCTGTCCAGGGGTATGTAGGGGGAGGGCCCCAGACACTCTGGTGTCACACACACTTACACACTTGTCACACATGTCTCCCTTTGTAATAAACACAGGGAGCCTCTCTGACGATGGGACAGAGGACAGGTGCACAGGCCCTGCCACACCTTGGTGTTAGCCCAGGGGCAGGGAGTGGGGACGGTTCAGCAGCCCAGCAGCCAGCAGTCCAGAAAGCCTCATCGGGGCCACGGCTTCTCAACACGTCCTCAGCCCAGCCAGATAGCAGTGGCGCCCACCTGCCTCAGAAGGAACAGTCCGGCGCAGGGCAGAGCCGGGCAGCTGGTGGCAGAAACAAAGCCGCCTCTGACAGCATCCACACTTCAGCCTCACTGAGCCTGGGCCGTGACCCGGGGCCAGCAGCCCCTCCCGGAGCAGGGTAGGAGGCTCCCCAGGGCTCGGGCAGAGCTTCGGAGGAGGGAGGTGCCCCTTCCCCAGCCTCTCTGCTGTGACCTTACTCACAGTCCAGAGCATCCCACTCCCACGGCCCGTGTGGGGAGTCCTGCCAAACCCTCACCTCTCCTCCTCCCAGCCAGCAAATGACCCCTGGGACAAGGCGCTGTGTCTCTGCACAGTCACACTTGCGTGACCACCGACCCCAGAGGAACAGGAAGGTCCCTGGGGGCCAGGCTTGTTTGAACTAGGAGCAGTTGATCACTTACTACTCGTGGAGCACTGAACAAAGCACTTTACAGTCACCAAGCGCTCCCTCTTACAGGTGAGCGTCTTCACCTCCATGTGACAGATGGCAGGTGAGCACAGATAAATCAGGACACATACCCTAAGGTCTTACACTCAGGAGTAAGCTCTGAGCTTCTCTGCCACTCCCAGCCCCCAAAACTGGAGGAGGGGCACCCAGTAGGCCTCATCGGGCATAAGGCACTC